TACAAATGTACTGGGAACAGGAAAGTAGACTCAACTGATCAAAAATCATTCTCAAAGGCTCAATTTTCTTTGGTGGTTTAGCAGTTTTGCTCATTTGGAAACACTTTGAACATCCTAGTTATAGAAAATCAGATTTGCTTGTATAATCTAACATGTTGAAATGTGACAGCAAATTGACAAATTTCTCATGGATATATCACACTTTGGATCCCAAGCTTGAAACATCAAACATGTTCTTCATCTCTGCAGTATGCATCACCTGTTTTATTTTATGCAAGTTTCTGCATCCTGCTGGCATAGGCTGATTGCTACCAAACCAGCTACTTCTTCTGTTGAGACTTATGATAAAATCTAATTTGTTCAGGATTTTACAAACAAAAGGATCACAAAAGACTCCAATGAAACTATAATATGCTGCTTCATTTATTTTTCTACAATAAAACTGTGTATTTTATCACATGGATTTTGTCTGTACATTTTGTATATATCTGCAAAACAGCATGTTCTGTCAAAAAGATACCTTTATTGAGGAAGATTTGCCTAGGGAGGCACTGTTCACTATATTACACTGTCCTTTTTCTAAACTGCAGATAGGTTCATGTTCCCTCAATTTTCTATCCTATATTTAGATGTTTTAGGACCAGTATCCTGAAGTAGAATTCAGAGACATTAAAAATTGACATACTGCCATATCCTTAGCTGATGAAAATCAGCATAGCTTCAGTGAAGTTGTAACACCTATGGTAATTTAAACCAGCTAAGAATCTATCCTGTTATTTTCTGACTTGGGAATATTCCGCATACGCACTCTATCAGGTTTATAAAAGCAGTAAATGCATAAGCTAACAATCTGCCGTTCTTTTTCAAATATGAAAAGTGTATCTCCTCAGGTTAATTGAATCAGGAAATGTCAGCTTCTTTTTACTTCATTTTCCTTTATTGATGCAGATTCTAGAGAATGAATGACTTCCGTGAATACAAAATACAGTTTAGTCTAATTTCTGAGAAATACTTAATGACCAGAAAGTGAGAAGGTTGTTTGAAACAAGACTGAAGTAAATCAAAGACACCCTTTCACTAATGCAGTTGGAAAAGTCTATGCCAGACCTTTAATTAACTATTTATAGAGATGTGCATATTTCCAATCTATTTTAAAACTGAAAATGACAGGAAGGAGACCTATCTACCCACTAGTTAGCACAAAGTACGGGCAGCATAATGTCTGTGCAGTGTCTAGCATTTACTGGGTAATTGTATATCAGCAACCTAGACAATTTAAAGACAGCCACAGAAATTCCAAACCAAAAGCTTAGCCTGATGCTTAGAGCGGATGCCTCCTGCCACCATCTTTCCTCCTGAGCAACAGAAAGCCATAAGTGCAGAGTGACCATCATGAAGAACAGCCTGCCTGTGCATGAGCAGCAGTCATGGTGTTCTGAATAGGTCTGCTGTTCAGAGCTGCTCAGCATTGATTGCTTTCTTTAGTTCAATAGGAACTGTGGGTATTCAGCACCTCTGAGTCCTACACAGGATTCTTCCTGGTTTCCCTCTTCATTGCCTTGTACCTAGTCATGAACCGATCTGTGAACTAATGCCAGCACCAGGCACCAGCACCAGGCCAGCATTGTCATGTTTGCAACTTCATTGCTGGTATTGTATAATCAGTTGGCTCAGATTTTTATTTTCTGGGTGTTTTGCTTGATCCTTTTCAAAAGGCTAAGGTAATAATACCAGGCAAAGGTTGAAAAGGAGTTTCTCCTTCTTTAGTTAATTATTTACTCTTGCCCAAGACCCAAGAGGTGGAGAACAGGCATACAACTCTCATTAAATGTTATATTGACATGTAAAGAGAGGACAACGTATAATGGGCAAGCTGAAAACAGTTCTCTTTATCAGTTCTGCCAATATTCTCTGAATTGCTCTTACCTCATGTTTATGGTCAAGAGAATTTGATGGAGAGCTAAAGATGCTCTGAGCTGCCGATTTAAGTAAAGAGCTCTTTAATTCATCAGGCAAAGACATAACAAGACCCAGTGACTAGAAGCAAGAGCTAGATAACTCCAAGCCAGAGATAAGGCATACCTTTTTAACAGCAAGAGTAATTAACCTGAGGAACAGCTTACTAAAGATGCGGTGGATTGCTGGACATCAATCATGAGGAGATAGCTTTAGCATGGCTAGGTTTGGCTGCCAAATGGGGCCGTATCTCCTCCAAATTAAATCAACACCCGAAGCTTCACACAGCCCTACTTTTCATACACTATTACCCAGTGGTTGTCCATAGTCAAATAGGACACCAACAGTCCTTGCTGCTGAGCAACTGCCCTCCAGTGCAGATATGAAGAAAGGCAGAGCATCATCATTATAACTATGGCAGTCTTCGTATGACTAACTGGTGTAAAATAACACATGAAGAAATCCTTAGTCACCCACTACATAGTGTATAGAGTCAGTAGACAAAGACTTTGAAAGTAAATGTATTCTCTTTGGCCAAACCAAATACACAACCTGATCCAGCTCCTATTCAAGTCAATAGATGAGATGAGAGCCAGATGGAAAAAAAAAAAGCATTAACATTTGTAACATTTCATAGCCCTCTTTTCATTGGGTGGATGCTGTATTACTGAATGGTTTCCTGTAGCTCTGTATGATAAAATTGGCCTGTCTAGGCCAATGCTATTTGGGGAGAAAATCCCACGGGTCTGCTTTTGATTAGAGCAGCTTACAAGCAGTTCCAAAGGTGGAAAGTTCAGATAGTCTTTCTGGGAAAAAAGACAGAAAATAGTTCAGAGGGTTAGCATTCTCAAAACAGTTATTTTAGCCAGGATTATTTTAAAGTATTTTCTATGAGATAAGTAAATAGACAGATTTTTCTTGTCCCCTTCTTAAAGTGGACTTTTATTTGATTTTTTTTTTTGTTCCTGGAACAAGGTATAAACTTGTGCAACGAATAGACCGGGATTGGTCCAGTTTGGGCCTGAACTGAAACAGTAGCTTGGAACCCTTTTGGAGACGTTTGGATCTAGACTTTGCTGCTTGACCCCATCTAAAATGGAGCCATTTTGTCTTCCCAAAGCAAATGCTGGGCCTGACTTTCCACTACCTCCTTTGATACAGTCGAAGTATTACAATAAGCAGCAGCTGTTTCAGTGACTCATTAGCATTTCACACCCATTTTGCAGAGACATATTTGATAATACTTGGTCCTTTTTAGAGATGTTCCAATGTCTGAAGCACTGTACTGATCTTACTCAATCTTCTGTTAGTCAAGTAGGTAAGAGAGATTTCCCCCTGTTGTGTGGGTGGAAAAACCAAAGGAAACAAAAGTGATTTCTCTATGTAAACCAGAGGTAACGCTAGGATTAAAAGCCAGGACTGTTTTTGGTCTTCCAGAACCTACTGTTTTTCCTTCCATAAAAATGCATGCAGTGGTTCATTTTAAATTAGGCTCCTGTAGCCTAAAATTGGTCCATGAGGGAAGGAAGGAACCATGTCTCTTACCTTTTTGACAGTGTAATGCTTGCTTAATAACTATTCTCCAACCAATTGGGTTGGTCTAATAAAAGATATCAAATTCACCCAAGGAACCTTGTCTGCCTATGTCCTTAGACCAACACGGCTACAACCCAAACACCAGTAATCAGTCAAAAAGCATTGTTACTTGTGCCATCTCCTTCATGAACCAGTGTACAGGTGTCAGAGACATAGCCCAGGTAAATGCAAGAGGATGTTTTCTCATTTGGGCACAGATTCTTACCCCCTTACTCTGTTTGCTTAGCACTACCTCAATCAGGAAAGCTGCATCCAGATGAGGAAAATAGACCCCTGTGGTAGAGTAAGATATGTGTGGTGTCAGATACAGGCTGATACATAGTCCACCTGACACTGAGGACAACAGTCCCCAGTGCAGCCAGTATAACTGAAACCAGTGTCTAGGCTTATGTCTCTTACAGGCTGAGCCAAGAATCTGGCCCATTTTTTTCTTCATAACGTAAAGAAAGGGGCAAGCGTACAGGCTGTGTTTGGGAAACAGTGCCCTGAAGCTCCACTGGGCTTTTCCCGAGATCTATTTCTCAGGGTAGCAATTCATCCTCTTGGAGGAAGCATACCTTGTATTCCCTCCTGCAAACCCTGCAGGCAAAGTGAACTCCCCTTGCTGCTAATTAGAGCTCTGCTTCCAATCGCACGTCAGGGAGACAATAGAGCCTAGAATTCAGGAACAGTCATAATATCCAATTGTAGTGGATGAGAAAGGGCTGCTTGTCAGATGGGTATAAAAGAAACCTTTAATTCCAATCAGGATAATCTAATGCATTAGCTGACCAGTGGTAAATAGCACACAGCACTGCCGGGCTCTCATATTAAAAAGCAGGGAGGCTTTCCAAAAGATAAATGTGGTTCTGTTTGGTGGTTCTATGGTGAAGCAAACCTTATCGTATTGATCAAACCACAAGGCTGATCTAAAGAAAATGTGAAGTGGCTCACATGTCCTGTAGTAAGAAACTGGGAAGGGGTGGTACTGGCTTTTCTTCACTAGTTCCCAGCAAAGCTGATATTGCTCTTGTCACTGGATTGGCAGCTTTTCTTCCCATATTTACCATGGACTAGATTTTGACTTCAGTGACAGCAGCCAAAAAAACGTAAACTCCACTGGCATCAGTGGGGTTACTATGATATAAAGGAACACCAGAAAGGTAATTCAGCTACTGTGCTCTAGTAACCATAATTCTTGACATTATCTCCAGAGCCTCATGGATGTTACCTTGGCTGGATTCATGAAAGGCTCCCCACATGGCCCCAGACTTTGTGAATTGTTGGGAGTCAGCAGAGCAGTAATTGTGGCTTTGTACTAATATAGCAATATTTTTGGGGGCTTAGCATTTTTTTTTTAAACTTGGCACTTCGGATTAGGGAGCTTTGCAGCAGCAAATTCAACTAGGTGTGAAACTTTGATTTCCTCTGTCTTTGTATTAACTGTAATTACTTTCCCTGCCTTTCAGAAAACCCCCACGACTCATGCCATGAAGGAAGAGAATTTTCTCCGCCGCAGGTTCTCTCTCTGTCCTGCTTCATCCACTCCTCAGAAAATTGACCCTCGCAAGCTGACACGGAATCTGTTCTTTGGAGCTGACAATGAGATCTACCCGCTCAGCCCAGGTCAGTTTGCGCTGCATTGAATCAGCATGTGCCCTTGCACCACTTTGCCTGAATCTCAGTGCAACACACACACGAACAGTACAGCACTGTTAAACCGGCCCTTTGGGTGAGTGAGTGCAGATGAATTTAGCATGTCTGCAAGCAGCAAAGACATAACTTGGTGTGGAAGCAAAAGCAGGAGGTGCTAAAACTCTTGCAGCAGGTGGACAACCCATCCTACAAAGTCCTAAGAGACTTTGGAAAGATGCTACAAGCCCTCAACATTCATTCATTCAAGGAAGTGGAAGGCCATTCACACCTCAGAGATGGGCCCAGATCTAGCTAAATGTTGAGCTAAATGGCCTAAAACTTTAGAAAGAGGGTGATCTGGGGTACCCATTTCAGAGAACCTTTAATTGTTTGTCCTAAAAACTGGGCCTTTTTAAAGTGTCAAATGGACAACCATCATTTTTAGCCACTTTTGAAAACAATGTTTGTCATGTACATTTTTGGCCCTCTTACATATGTAACAAATTCTCTTTCTCCAGTGCTAATATCTTTAGCATTTTTTTCCCAGTAATGTTGCCCAATTGCAATAAATATACCACTGGCTTCAAGAATTTACAATACTTCCTTCAGGGTTAAATTAAAATTGCTAGCGACCATCTGTTCTGAAGGAAACAGAATTGACTGTATTGTTGTGGTGTTTCCTGTATGTAGTAAACACTCAATTAAGAGCAGTTTTGCTGATTGCAATCTGGATCAGGTACTAGTCTGTAAACATGTGCTTCAACCTATGCTGAAGGTGAAATCACAATTTTGCAAACTCAAATTGTGGTTGTCACTGATAGGTTTAATAATTAAACCCACAGGTGCCTCTGTGAATTGTTGCAATTCTGATATTTCTGGGAAAGAGGTTAATGCCACTGGCAAAAAAACAAAACAGTATTAGTACTTCTACAGGATCCAGTAGTGCTTGGTGTTTTCCTAATATAGAACAAAATCAAATCTGGAACCAAAGAGTTTATAATCAAAACTCAACCTTTTCAGGAGGCTTCTTACTTTCAAGTGCCTATTTTTGGATGTCCAAGTGGAGTCAACTTGGGCCTAATTCAGGAGAGCTGAATTCACTAGAAGCAGTAAATGCTCACCACCTTCTGAAAATTAGTTCAGGGCTAGCACAAGCTGAAGACATAAAGCTTGTGACACCCAGAATTTAAGGCCACTTACAAAATGTGGCCACAACTAAAAATGCTCCACTTAGATGTCAGCAGCAATGGCAGTGGTAATGGCAGTCCTTCAATGCGAGGATGATGTTCTTCCAGTAAATAGGGAAGCTATCAGTGAGTCTGCAGCTGACTGAGGAGGCCATGTGAGAGCTGCATGTTCAGTTGTAGATGCAGCAGATAGTTGTGGGAAGAAGGAGTAGATTCTGGTGATGCCAGATCACAGCTCTTTC